GAGAGAGAGAGAGAGAGGCCAAGTGTAGGTGGGTTGTTTGGTTTAGACGAAGGTAGTTATGTATATCGCTCATTCTCTCTTTTTTTTGGTAGTGAGAAAACTTATAATTATACAGAGGCATACCATCATCTCCCATTGCCATGGAGAAACACAGAAAATATGATCAGACCAAAAAAAAGAAAATGACATATGAATAGAAATGGCAAAAGGCAATCATATCATCATTTGTTTACATGCAGCAAAAAAAAGAAGAAGGAAGAAGAAGAAGAAAAAAGACCAAGAAGAACTCATTCCAGTAAAATTGGCAAAAGGTACCACAAGATCAAGCCAAAAATGCTAACGATGAAAAATTTCAAAGAGAAACCCAATAAAAGAAGATCTAAAACAAACAGAAGGAAATATGGAAATCAAGAAAGCAAATAAGAAAGCCAAGAAGGCTCACCATTTGGGTTCCCCTGCTCATAGAAGTTTCGAAAGAGGGTCACAGACTCTGATGACATAATTCCTCCAGTGCATTTGAACCCCCTGCATTGTGTCTCATCAGCACTGTCAATATAAATTCAAGTGGACCCTTAAGCTAATTGTGAATGGCTTTAAATCCTAGTAATATCAAAATTTTGCTTTAAAGGATGACAAACGAAAGAATACACGGGTTTGCCAATTATACGAAATACTCCAATATACAAATGTGGTCTCTTTCATTCTTCTATTTTTTTTGTCTTATTTAATCATATTGGCCTTTCTCAGAAATACACAGAACAATCTTTTTTTTCCAAAAAGACCAAACTGCATCAGCATCATATAATAATCCTCTTATAGCAGGTAAATACAGTTCCGCTGGTGATTCCTCGATTATGTTTCATATTTCAATTTTGTATTAATTCATGACTCTTTCATGCCTTCTATTTAGTATTTTCTGAACTATTTATAATGAAATCTCAATTTTCAGTTGTCTCAAAATTTTGTGTGGTGCATGTGTCAGCAATGAGGTGTTCTTCCGTTCTAGTTAGAATACAGGAGTTGCGACATCTCTTACAACAATGTTTTTTCTTAATAAGCCACAATAGCCTTGATATACATTAACCATCATGTTATTCTTGAATTTACTCATAAAAGATACGCAATACTACACTTGAGAACAAACAGAATTGGTGTTAGGTAAGAGGAGGGAGAAATATTCCTTGTCCAATCCAGAAGGATGGAGCATAGCATGCACCAAGTTGAAAAAAGAGCAAATGAAAAATGTTGTAGTGAATCAAACCTGTACACATCTTTGATTTCACTTTGATGTAATGACAAGACTGATCCACACCCTCCAAACTTATCATTGGCACAACCATAATAAACTGCTCTTATGCCTATTCAATGTTTTATAATAAGCAACTCAGTAGGGTGTAAAATTCTACAATCACGACAGTTTCAAAGTATGCTTTACGATAAGAAAGTCAATGACGAATTTCAAAATTCAAAGAACACACCGAGTATGGATAAAGCTGTTGCACACATTATGCACGGTTCACAAGTAACATAAAGATCGCATTTTGAGAACTTCTCTGCAACTTCAGACTGTGAAAGACCAGAAGCTTGCCATTGCTCAAGTAGCTTATCAATGGATTCCATTTCTGCATGTCTTGTAGCCTGCCCTGATGTCATCACACAAATGAAAGGATGTCATGATCATTTCTTTTTCTAGAACTAGTTGTCTACATGATTGATAACCACAAAACTATAATTAAAAGAGAGGCATTTTGTTTATTTGTTAACAATTAAGCATGGTTTACAACAACTAATATAAAGGCTGAACTCCTTGCTCAATACCACTATAATTAAATGATATACAAAAGGTTGAATGTTGCACCATATAATACATGGCTAGTTTTCAAGGATTGTATATCAAGGAGTTGGGGTTTTGCTCAACTTCAGTAAAACAAGTGAGAACTTTCATATCAAGATGATTGTGGATCATACAAAACATTTTCTCTCCATCATTTATGAAATAAAACAATTAAGGATGCTTCAATTTGAAAGAGTATCATCATCACTTATCCCAGCCATTTGTGGTCGGCTTCAATTTGAAAGAGTATTAAATTAATTATATGCCGAACTACATATAAGTGTGAAAACAATGGCCACAGCCTGTAAATGCTGGTGGCATGTATTGAAAATGAAAGCAAGACAATGAATCAAAGGCTCTCTATTCTATTCATAATTGAACGAAAAATGTTCAAGCGCATACGTTTCTCGTCTCATTGGTGCGATTGCTCCCAAAACCAATAACCTTCCCATCCTCAACGATCACACAACTGATAAAGACAATTCAAACAAACTCCATAAATAACTTTCAAAACTCTCTTGAACAACACAAAATCTATTTGGATGGAGGCGTGAAGTGAATTATACAAAGAAAAGTGTTCATAATTTTTCCAAGTTCTTATATTTTCTATTTATAAAAAAAAATATAAAGCCTAAGATCACACTTAATTATGAAGCCATGTGAGCTTATTAAACAAGCAATTTAAAATATGTGATCCTTCTTCATAGCTATGATGCAAAAGGGACCATAGCAACCGACAAATATGAACTAACTTTTATACCTGCAACAACAATATGTTATTTATAAATGATATGCTACTCATCTAATAACAAACATGTGTTCAGCTAGAAACTCTTTTCTTGAATAAAGGTCTTGAACCAGAAACTTATAAGGAGGTCACTCAATAATTCACATATACAAAAAGAGGTGACACATGAATCATCATTCATATTACAACATAAATATGACTAATTGGCACCTATGGCTTTGAGATAGTATGTTTAAATAGTATATTTGTTATCATGATCAGGCAAGATTAATGCCAATAGTCTAAAATACTCTAGTTATTAGTTATGTTTCCAACACGGTATCACAGAGTGCATCATTAAGAGAACTGCCATTTTACTAGGGAGAAACATTTTGAGCAATCAATTAACCTCATGTCCAGAAAGAACATGCACAATTATTTACAAGTCCACAATTCCACATCGGCAAAATGTTTTTCTTTTAGATAGTAAACTCTCTCTCCAAGATCCTTCCAATCAATGCGAGGCATTAAAACATTTTTAAGGGAGGTAGTTTAGTCACACTTGATCTCTTTATGTAAGTTCACATAACGATATTGTTTATATTCGAAAATGCGGGCTGGGGACTCCGCCCCCTCCTTGATTTTGGGTGTAAACAAATCGATGAGTTGATATAGAATGGGTCTTGTCAAATTAAGTTTCGATAGAGAATTGGATCCTAATACCTTATCCCTCTCGGACCGCCAGCAAAGCCAGCTTCCCTCCTATTTCAACCTTGGAACTCAACAAGAAAGCTTCCGAAAAAGGGTTTGGAGAAAAAAGAGGATTTTTAGAAGAAGCGGTTTAGTAAAAGAACTAGAGAGGATAACCACAAATAAGCAACTAAACTAGGGAAATAGAAATACACAGGGGTAAAGAATCTAACTATGAAGTGCAAGAAGAATAAGAAGGTAAAAAACATGGAGATAAAAAGATAAGGCTAGACTAAACATGCATCAAGTAAAATGAGAAAACTAAGACTATAGAAATGAGGTATTGGATATGAAGAAGAAAGGAAAAGAGGTATCTACTAGTGAGACAAAAAGATACAAGAATAAGATGGGAATTAAAATAATAAGATATCATGAGAGAGAATAAACACGAGAGAAAGAGGAATGAAACTAATAGTAATAGATGACATGCAAGGAGAGTAAGAGAATAGATATAAAAGAGAGCTAAAAGGTAAGAGCGTTAGAAAGAAGGCTAGAGAAGTAAAGAATGAAACATTACAAGGGAGAAAAGGGATAGGTAAATATGGATTACTAATAATAGATGGTAAATGACATAAAAGAAAATAAATACAACAAGAAGAGGACAAGAGAGATGAAGCTATTGAGCAAAATATAAGGTGAATAACAACACAAATGTAAAGAGAAGAAAAGAGAGGGAGCAAAAGGGATAAAAGCAAGAAAGAGTAAGGATAACCTAAACTATAAGATGTTAAATGAAGCCAAAGCAAATACAAATGGAGAGAAAGGAGGACTTAAGCTACAAGATGAGAAAAGGAAAAAGTAAGTACAATCAAATAAGGAAAATAAGATAGAGGAGAGAGAGAGTAAGGGATGAGGGAGAAGAAAGAGATTGAGGGGGAGAACTATTCCATAAGATGAGCAAAAGAGGAAAGAGAAATAAATACAACTAACTAAGAGAAGAAAATGAAGAGAAAAAAAAGGGAATGGGCTAGGTTATCAATGAAGAGAGAGAAGAAAGGAAACTCATAAATACAACTTAATGGACAGGAATAAATGCAAAAAGAAAAGAAACTAGGCTATAAACAAGGACAAAAGAAAGAAATAAATACTATTAAAAAGGGAAATCAATACTAAAATAGAGGAGAAGATGAGGGAAAAAACTAGAATACAAGATAAAAGGGTAAAAGAGGAAAATCATGATGATAACCAACAAATGAAAATAAATACCAGAAAACAAATGGAAGAAGAAAGAAAACAACATTTAGGCCGGCGCCGGTGCCTAGAGTCGGCACCGATTTAGATCGATTGGTTGCACAGCCAATCTCGAGTTTTCAGTTTTTAACGGGGCAAATAGAAATAGGAGAAAGAGGGCCCAAAAAGTTTGATTATCCAGACTACCTTCGGTTTGATAGGGTAGCTTGAAGGAGTTAGTAGTTTAGTTTTGGATTGAAGGGTTTAGGTAGAATAGGTTTTGCTCAAATGGGCGCACCTTGGGGCTCTCTCACAGCCATAAGTTTGAGCATAAGATCAAGGGGTTTTGAGCATAGAATAATCTCAAAATCAAAGAAACTTGGGCATAGCATAGTCTCAAAATTATCAGAAAAATTAGACCTTAAGCCCGAGACAAAAGGGGCTATTTATAGACAAAATGGACCCATGACAGCCTGTAGGTCGGTTTTGTGCAATTTTCGGACCATTAGAGTTCTGGCGACGTTTGGAGTGGCATTGGCGCTGTTGGGAGTGGCGCCATGTCATTAATGCATCACTAATGATGGTCAACAAATATTAATTGCTCATTAATGCGGCTAATACGGCCCTGTCAGTGTCTTTGGAGCCATTGGCAATGGCGCCAACGACGTTTCGATTGCCTTCAAATCTCGTTTCAGGGACGTGTCGTGTTTTGGTGACTCTGGTCTGGATTTGATGGACCAATCATAGCTTGAAGCTGTTCCGAGTAGCGCTGGCGATGTCTGGAGTGTCGCCAGATACCAGCTGGCACGCCGTCTTCTTCAATTCTTCGACCAATCAGAATTCGACAACCACGGGTTGTAATGACTTCTGACGTGTCAGTACAAGTTTGCCATGTCGGTGGGTACGGATTGGCGCGTTAGGAAGTCATCTCAATCTTGTCGGCTAGGCTGTTTCTCACTTAGTGGAGGTCTTCAGGCCCGACGCTATTCGGAATGGAGCTGGAAGCATTGACAATGCCGTCAGACTTCTGTTCGTTCTGGAAGCTCATCAGGGGCCTGGAGTTGAGCGTTGTTTGCACTAGTGCTGGCGCCAGACTTTACGCCTTCCAATCTACTTGCTCTGTGATTGAGGTGTACCTTTAGACTTTTGGTAGGGTTTCAGTGGCCGTTGGGGCAACACTAGAGCCTTTCCCTTCTGGGGTGCTTCGAAGTCAGATGGCTCTGGGTCTGCCTTGCCTCTTGATGCCTCTAGTCCCACTGGGGCAATAAGGGTTTGGTGTGGAGGCTAGGTTTACGTAAAAAGGGATCTGGTGAGGTGAATTGTTTAAAATATCCGGGTGGTCTGCTTAGGATCTTTCAACCTATCCATAGTTTCTCTAGTCGAGATTGGGGTGTCTACAGATATGTATGAGGGTATTTTAGCCATAAAAGCAAGACTTAACTATGCAGAACAAATGAAGATCAATATTTCTCTAAAATTTGTGCATACAAACATTGAGCTACTTGTGCTTGTGAATCCTCAAAAAATTAGTATTCAGTTGGTCAAACATAATAAATTAATTCTCCCATTATAACTAATATTTAGAAGTACAAATATTTATTTCTTTAATATGTCGGTAAAGGAGTGACCATTTCTTTGTAAGTATAGGAGGGACAATACATACCCGACTGGGACTTCTAAGTTATCTAATGCAAATTTTGCCTGCAAAATGTAAAGATAAGGAACAATTCCATTAGATTTTAGACATGGCATAAAAGAAGGTAGATGATTTTCATAAATGAATATCAGAGAAGTTTGACATGAATCGAGAAAGGGCATGGTGTAATCGCACCCACCTATAGAAACAAAAAAGAAGAGCTAAAAAATAGGGAACCCCAAATACATATGATAAAAAATATTATGGAAACAAAAAAACTATACAAAAAATTGGGGAGCATCTACTTCGTACAATTTTAGACAACCTCTCTGAAATTGGTTTTATTTCTAGGCCTTTGAATCTTGAAGCACACTAGCCTTGCGAACCATAAGGCACATGGACCCATGGTCGATAGTCCACACCTGAACCATAGTCTAGCCACAGGACATCCCCTAAATATTCCATAGAACCCATTTTAGGAGACTGGTCCCCCTAAGAGGCAGGTCTTAAGTGTAAAAAGGAAGAGAAATCCGAAGTTGCTATTTTCTCGAAATGTTTTTTGAAATTACTTGACTGCACTCTGCAGAAGGCATAATCCGACATGAAATATCACAAAATAAGCAACCGTGGAGAAAATCACTTGAAGTTGAGCTAGAAAGAGCTCAGCCACGTGGACTGCATTGCTGAGGGGCCTTGAGCCCAGCAACACGGAGCATGTTGCTCATCCTATCAACGCACCTCATATGTGTTATGCCTAGAAGCAAGTTTAAGTGAATTACTTGGCGACCCCCAAGGTAAAACCCTAGAAGTAAAATTTAAGTGAATTACCTGGGGAACTCAAGATAACCTCTGGATTTGCAAAACTTAAAGATCGAGGAGAAAAGATTCAATCATTTTCCATCTGATCCGGGCCCCAGTTTAGGGTGCCGGGCCTATAGGCATGGCCTCCCAGGTACTTTCTATGTTTTCCTTATTTCCTTATTTTCCTTGTTATCCTATTTTCCCCCAAAAAATTCGTATTCCTAAGGTCCGCCTCGGACAACAGCTTGTGGGAAAAGGTCTTTCAGAAGTGATTTCTCATAAACTACAATTCGACAGTATTCACTATTTATCCACATTAAATAATTAAAAATGGACACGAATAGGGATGAGTTAGACTTTGAATACTTTGTCCGGTAAACATCAATACATTAACCAAACCTTTGTTTCGCAGCTAAGCATCCTCTATGGTTCTGTAATTCACCAAATATCATGGTTTCGCCCTCGTTCAAGCTTTGGGCATGTAGTTGCTCAAGCTTTTAGCCCCCTCATTTCTCTCTACTAGATAAGCAAGTTGGGGTTTTATTTCTTGTCCATTTTGTCCATCCTTTGTTGTGAACAAGCTTTCTCAGGTCATATAGAAGAAAACAACCATCAAAGTGAACTCCTAAGCAAATGCCACAGTCAATTAGCATTCACCATCAATGATTTTGCTCCTCCTTGCAAAATCTTGGTATTAGCTTTGCATAAGGTGAGTACAATCTTCACAATAAATGCTAAATTAATACCTGATTGCCACATTTCTTGTCTTTTAAAGAAATGCTTATCTTCATCAAATTCCAATGTAATCTCAACAGCTTCATAGGCAGCTTCATTATAATAGATGGCTCCAACAATTGCATGTAAACAGATAAAAGTTAAACACTAAGTTCTACATGGTATTTGAGAAATGTGAATTGTGATCCATCTTATATTTCACTCTCATCACCATCAAAATTTTCACTCTCTATAATGACATTATGATTGTCCCTCTGAAACCCATTAAGATTTCTCATATCAACAATGATATCATAGCTTATTCCTCAGAAATCCAATAATATCTCTCTCAAATCTGGCCATAAAATAAACAACAAAGCAATAAAACATGTATTTGAAACATATAAAAGTACCTGTTCCAAGGCCAGCCCCATGAATGTCATTGAAAATTGAAAATCATCTTCCTTCATCGAACCCATCTACCAATAAAACTTGCAATCTACCAAATCAGGGAAAGAAAAAATAAAAAAAAGGCTTCAAATTGAAACCCAAATAGCATTAATGGGTAAAATAATACTTCAAAAAAGAAAAGAGAGAGAGAGAGAGAGAGAGGGGGGTTTTGCCAAAGCCATGGTTTTGAAGGGGGTTCATAGCACGACTTTTTCCGATGCCTTCATAAACAAGAATAACATAAAGAGAGAGGAAGCAACTCTCTTCACACACAAATCTCTCTCTCTCCTCTGCAATAAACCTCCCCAATCTCTCTATTTCTTGCTCCACTGCAAGAAAATTTCACCTCACGTCCCAATGCCTTTTCTAATTTAGAGAGAGAAAGGAGGAGTAAAACTGGTAGAGAGCGAAGCTTATGCACCAAAAATGGTACAAACAAGAGGTAAAAAAGACTCTTTATACACCGTAACACGGGGTATTTAAAAGTACACAGGGGTCCCTGTCACCCCTCTTTATACTCTCTCTCTCTCTTTCACTCTCTTTCTCTCTCTCCTCAAATATATCCACGAATTGCCCAATTTGGCTTCAAAATTTAAACAAATACCTCTCAAACACTTCCTCCCCAAATCAAGTTTCTGGCCCCTTTATCTCTCTCTCTTTAAACCATAGTTACCAAACAATCGTATCTTTTTCTGCCTATAATTGTTTTTGAAAGATAATTTTTTTCCCCTGTTTTGTCTATTGCAGCCATTGCTACTTTCATGCTTTTGAAAAGAAAATTATTATTTTAAAAAAAATCCTAAAATAGAAATTTTTATCCCCACTGTGTTCTTCAAAGCCACAGTTGCAGATTGAATTTTTTTTTCCTTTTTTTTAAAAAAACTTAAAACAAATAGATGCAGATTTCAGTTGTTATTATGGAAAATCATTTTGTAAATGAAATATTGATTATAGCAAATCATTTTGTAAAGTAAATCATTACACATGCAGATTTCTGTGATTATTTGTGATAATTGTTTTTATAAAAATACTGTTTATGGCACAAATTGGAGCTCAAAACATAGTCTTTTACTGATGAATGAGAAACACAGAGTATGTGATAACAAAGATAAACAATATAGTGTAAAACTGTAAACTGTAAACAGGAGCAAGCAATTTTACCTATAGGATTATTTCCCCAAACCTAATTCTTCAGCTCCGCTTGCTGTTTCCCCAAGAAAATGAAAAACCCTCTTCCTTTTCTCCCTCTAAAAATCAGTTAGGGCCTCCTCACAAATCAGTATAGTTAGGGCTTTCTCTCAAACAACATCGCAAATCAGAGAGAAAAACCTCTTCAAACTATCCCAAATCAGCAACCGATCTTCCTTTTCTCTCTCTAAAAATCAGTTAGTGCCTCTTCCATTAGGGTTTGTGAAGCCGATGATCTGTTCCTTCAGCCCTATTTTCTTCTCTTCCTGCTTCTCTCTCTAAATCGTAAACACTGAGATGTGAAACCCAAATTTCTACGAGCTTCTTTTCGATTAAAGAAATTTATAAACTTTAACTCTAGTTATGGAGTAACCATGGTAACCATACCATAGTTAAATCACTGTAATGAGAAAACAAAAATCTGTATTTCCTCCCCAAATCAAGTTTCTGGCCCCTCTGTCTCTCTCTCTCTAAACACATTACTTTTTAAGGAATGCTGTTATGGGTTTATGGGCATGAGAGGCCTGTAGTTCCATGGTTTGCTGCACTCCCCAACCTCTCCCGCTCTCACCCACGCACGCCCATAGCCTCTCTTGAAGCCCCTGAAGAAGGTCTCTTGCCCTAAGCTCTGTTGCTTATCATGAACAATAGGCAAGTATTTTTTTTTTCTTTTTCATGTTTTACATAGCTCATTTCTATGTAATGCAGAAGTATGGGATTATGAGGTGGGTAATAGAAAAAGATAGGGTTTAGGATTTCATAACGATAGAATGTGAGTGCTGGCATGAGAGAGAGAGAGAGATAGAGAGAGAAATGATTCTAGTTGAGTGTTGTATCAGTTTTAAAAAATTATTCTGTGGTTATTTTTCTGGTTTTTTTCTTTCTCAATATTTCTTTTTGTTATTTAGCCATCAATTTTGTTTTGTTTATATGGCAATACCACCTGTAATGGATTTGTGCATGTGATTTTTGGGATTTTTTTAATTAAAATTTATTATTATAACAATGAATTCTTTTCTTAGACAGACCTTGATTTTGCAATTTGCTCAAGAAAATTTATGGGACACTTTTTAATTTTCATTTTGTGAGATTTGTTTTACCCAAAAGCTCGAGGATATGACAGTAGGTTATACTAGGGATATTCTGTAAGATAGAGAGGAGTTTCTAAATGAAGGAATCTACATGCATTTTGGTTCTTTTTGGTATTTCAGAGTAGACTTAGATTTTAATTTTTTTATTTTTTTTGGGGATTATTTGTAGTTGGTTTTATGGGGCATTTTTATAGTTTATCAGTGTGAATAGATTTGATTTTGGAGGATTTATCCTCGAGCTTTTCCCAAAATGAACTCCTTTAAATATGATTTGCTCTTGAATAGCCCTTTTCTAGCACAAAAAACAATGCAAAATTGATGGTATTATTTAGTACTTAATGTTCACAAAGATGTTTATGGGTAGTTTTTTTAGTAAATTGTAGGCCATGGATGTTGTTGCCATTGGAAAATTATTGGTGGGTTGGGATATGGGTTGTACTAGTCATATTTGGTTAATCATTGTGGATAATTATAAAATTCATGGATTTGTGTTGCTGAATCGATAGTACATAGTGCTGAACTATGCTGAATTTGATCATATTCGATAATCAAACTCTAACACATTTCTACTGTCTACAATGGCAGCAGATGTATGAGCTTGATGATCCAAATTTTAACATAATGATGTGTCATTAAATAGGGTCAAGCTCATGTAATTATCATCACACACAATGTGCATCGATTCCCTACTTAATTGTACAGCCAAAACTCAATTAATTGAAATAAAACTGCTGAAAAAATGGCAGTTGACTGTTGTGATATCAGCAGCAACCAGCTGCAATTTTGATAAAAAATAATCCATCAAGATGGCTCCAATGGTTCAAACATAATTTCACAAATTGAGTCTATTAATTGGACAAGCAAGACTTTAGATCAAGTTACTAAGACTTGATCAAACTTGATCGATTATACTGCTGAATATCGGCAGAAGAACTCTTATAAATTGATTATCGATAATGTATACTACTACTATTAAGTGTAGTTCTAGTAAATTGTCATTAACAGCCAAAATAATTATTCAGTAGCCTTTCATTTTTTATGGTTGTTTCTTATCTTCTTTAGTTGGTTGATGGTTCATATTGCATTTTGGGGGGCCTATACTATTATTCTTTCTTGATCTATTGCGGATGAAATTGCTTTAAAATGGTTGGGCTACTTAATGTATGGATTAAACTGGTTAATTAACAGGTTTCCAGGTTTGATAAATTCCAGGCGGTTTAAAAACACAGGTTTCCAGGTTTGATAAATTCCAGGCGGTTTAAAAACACAGGTTTCCAGGCTATCTCTAAATTCCAGGCAGGTTACCAAACACAATATTTACAAGTAGCTACAAGAGCCAGCTTCACGGAGAGAAGGAACTTCCAGGTTCTTGATAACAGCATGCTTCCAGTTGTCAAACAGGCCCTAAATGGAGAGAGAGCATTAGAAATCTAGTGCCTTATAGTGTGATATAGTAGAATTCTCATTCTCTCAGTTGTCTTGATAAGCTAACTTCCTTTGCAGGTCTCTCAATTGGGGGCAAAATCACTTTTGCCTCGATCACCAGTTGCGGATGAAAATTCAGGTATACATTTTAGGATTATTACGACTTTTTTACTGAAACATTGGTGGGTTTCATGGTAATAACAGGCCCATCTACTTAATTTCTGAGCTTGAATGGAAAATGGTTGGATTATTTATCGCATTAGAAACAAATTTACAGGCTATTTCTGGTACATATTTAAGAATAAATACAATTTATTGACTGAAATGTTGCAGAGGTTCATGGAAATAACAGGCTGAACTACTTAATTTCTAAGATTTTAATGGAAAATGGTTGGATTATTGATCTCTCTCTTTTGTTTCTTTTTTTCTCCCGAATTTTGTGGCATCATTTCAATAAATGAGATTCCTTATGTCATTAAAAATAAATATTCCAAATGTTAAATTCAAAATAAAGATTCAATAACACTTGACAACATTTTTGAATTTTTTATTTTTATAAGTTTATCGCATTATGAATGAATCACAGATGGTATACATTCCTAGGAGTTTTATAAAATTCCTGCAAAAATTTCTATTTCTGCATTACATGAGTGATAGGTGTTTTAGCGGAACTTCATCAGCAATTATCCATTAGAGCTTTATGGGAAATGTATAGGTGAATTCATAGCAGTAATGTGAAACTGCCAAGTCTGGAACCAAACACTGGGAACAGGCCAAGTCGACTGGTTCCAAATATATATATATATTTTTTTGGGACTTCGCTGATTCTTGGGCTTGGGACTGAGCCTTTCATACCTAACTCGGGCTTGGGTCCCTTGTTAATCCCGACCAGAGTCATCATTTTTTAACACTGATATATAATGAGCTCAAACAAGGTGAAATGGGTTTAATCTGTTTTAATGTTTTCAATTAACATAATATTCCTTTAAGTGATCTGTGGAAACTTTTCAGAAATTTCTTGCTTCTCAGAGGATGCTACAGAGTAATAGACAACCACTTAAAACTGAATTTATCATGACAGTTTTAAATTTACTATGATTAATAGAACAATATCAACATAATTGGCAGCTCAATTTATCTGTGTATCTTGAAAGGTAATAGCCATTTCATTAACTGGAATGATAATGCAATATAAATTGGGGAAAAATAAGAAAGAAGAAAACAACATCAGAAATCTTACATCATATTCATCAGACACATGTTTATTGATTTCCCAAAAAAAAAAAAGAAAATTAGTAGGGGTTTATCTAAACCCAGCTTAGTTACAGAAACATAGATGGGTTTTGATAGAGTGTTTTAGTGTTATTGCTAAGCAGATTGGGTTTCTTGTTATGGATTCAACATTGGCCTCCTTAGTGTTTTGGCTTTAAGGGCATAACCTGGTGTGTATTGTGTTATACCTCCCTAGTACTCATCATCTGATCTTTGTTCAGTTGGTTTTAGAACTCTCATTGTAGCAAGTGCATGAAGGTTCTAGATGTGTTAGAAATTATATTGTGTTTAGCTCATTATAAATATCCTTATTTATCTTTATCTTTATCTTCATAACCATTTTTGTTAAAGGCCGCATTGTAGTCGAAGCCCAAGAAATACTAATTCCCGTACCACCATGGTTGATTGTGTAGAGTACACTTAGAATGACTTGATCTACCCAGTTTCTGTTCTGACTGAATCATCTAGGGCTATTGGTTCCCCTGTTTTGTTTAATGGCCAATCCAAGTTTTTTGGTTTTGAATAAAAAGACAGTCTTCTTCCATGGAATTAACTCAAAAGAGAGTGATCTGGTTCTGGAAGGATTCCTGGTTAGGTGAGGCACCACTTATATTACTATTTCAGGTTATGGATTAAGGTTAGTTTTGATGCTTCATTGCTCATTGCCGTCATCTTTCCCAAAGTAAGTCCTACAACCGCCTACAATGACAGATTACAGTTTGATGATTTCTGAAATGAAAGACCAATCTCCCAGTTAAACCTTATTCTGATGAAAGATTGTATAGCTTTCTTATGGAAGTTGTTGATCTTATTGTACAAATCATGTTAGTGGGACCATAAGAAATGCTTCTCTTGAATCTTGATGGCCTTTTGCTCTATGGATTTAGAACACCCGTATTACTGCTACAATCTGTATGATTCAAAAAATCTCCACTGAAGCAGGCTGAATCTTCAAGCTGATGGGATCATAATGCACCATATTATAGATAATGTTGGGTGACAGAATTTCAATGTATAATTTTCTCCAGCCTGAATATTTTTACGGTATTTCTTTTGCCGGTTTATGGTATTACTTTTTGTTGGGGATGGGATCAGAGAATTGGGGGTATCTTGTTATTCAGTTGTTCTCCATGAATTTAACATTAATGAGTGTAAGAAAGAAAACCATATTTTGATAGAAAACCATATTTTGATAGAAAAACATTCAGTTGTTCTCCATGAATCACCAACCAATCTGCATACAAACACTCCACACACACTCATGCATGTGTTCTCTATACTCACCATGAATCCAATCGGAGGTGCTTGTTTAGTTCAAAGATTGGTCAAACACAGCCGATTTGCTCATGATCATAAATCTTGGTTATGCTTGTCTTCTAGTTATCTTAGGGCGTGTTTGATAATAGGTTGTGTCTTCCTAGAAGTGGGAACTTATTAATACTGTTCATGTTTTGTGTTTGATAAAAAAATGGAAGTTTAAATGGGAACTTCACAGTACTATTCATCTTCCTATCTCTCGTGTAAAAAAAGTTCCGACCAAAAGGTCGGAACTTAAAATTGGAACTTCGTTTTAACACTTCACCCCCGAACCCTAGTTCTTCTTCTTCTCTTCTCTTCGTTCCCTTCTTCCAATCTTCAGCCGTTGAGCACCCATCTCTTCGTAGCACGACCCCTCTCTTCTGTTCTTCGCGTTCAGCCGCTGAGCCACCCCTCTCTTCGCAGAACGTCACTATCTCAGGCAGACTCTTCTTTTCACACGCAGCCCTCGCTAGCTGTTTTTGACCTCTGACCCTTGCTATTGATCTTGAGGTATGCTATTGACTCTTATTCTCTTTGTGTTATTGATCTCTGTGTTTGTTCTGGAGCTCTTGAAGCAAAGAGATCTTATTCTCTCAGTGTTATTGATCTTGAAGTATGCTATTGACTTTGATTTTCTTCGTCTTTCTCTGTCTATCTTTTCTTTGAGCTCTGATCCTTCCTATTGAGGTCTGATCTGTGTTCTTCATCTTTCTTGAGGTATTTGCCCCCGACTGCCCTAACCACAACGAATAGTATTGATGTGTTTTATTTAATAAAATCAGAGTGAATAGCATACCTTTTATTTCTGATTTTGCAGACTTTTAGCAACAACCCAATAGATCAGAGCTCCGTTACAAAAAGAATAGAGCTCAGTTCCAAACTGATTATTCAAACAGTTTGTAATAAAATTTGAGCCCTTTTTTTTTGTGTTTATTGGGCGATTTTACAGATTTTTCGCAACAGCCCAATAAATCAGAGCTCAGTTACAAAAAAAATAGAGCTCAGTAACACACTGATTATTCAAACAATTTGTAATAAATCTGAGTCCTTTTTTTTTGTGTTTATTTGGCGATTTTACATATTTTTTGCAACAGCGCAATAGATCAGAGCTCAGTTACAAAAAAAATAGAGCTCAGTTACAAACTGATTATTCAAACAGTTTGTAATAAAATCTGAGTCCTTTTTTCTGTGTTTATTTGGTGATTTTACAGATTTTTGGCAACAACCCAATAGATCAGAGCTTTGTCACAAAGAAATGGAGCTCAGTTACAAACTGATTATTCAAACAGTTTGTAATAAAATCAGAGTTCTTTTTTTTTTTTGTGTTTATTTGGCAATTTTACAGATTTTTTGCAACAGGCAAATAGATCAGAGCTCAGTTACAAAAAAATAGAGCTCATTTACAAACTGATTATTCAATCAGTTTGTAATAAAATTTGAGTCCTGTTTTTTTGTGTTTATTTGGCGAGTTTACAGTTTTTTCGCAACAGCCCAATAGATCAGAGCTCAGTTACAAAAAAAAATAGAGCTCAGTTACAAACTGATTATTCAAACAATTTGTAATAAAATATGAGTCCTTTTTTTTATGTGTTTATTTGGCGATTTTACATATTTTTTGCAACAGCCCAATGGATCAGAGCTCAGTTACAAAAAAAATAGAGCTCAGTTACAAACTGATTATTCAAACAGTTTGTAATAAAATCTGAGTCCTTTTTTTTTTTGTGTTTATTTGGCGATTTTACAGATTTTTCGCAACAACCCAATAGATCAGAGCTCAGTTACAAAAAACATAAAACTCAGTTACAAACTGATTATTCAAACAGTTTGTAATAAAATCAGAGTCCTTTTTTTTTTGTGTTTATTTGGTGATTTTAAAATTTTTTTGCAACAGCCTCATAGATCGGAGCTCAGTTACAAAAAAAATAGAGCTCAGTTACAAACTGATTATTCAAAGAGTTTGTAATAAAATCTGAGTCCTTTTTTTTTGTGTTAATTTGGCGATTTTACAGATTTTTTGCAACAGCCCAATAGATCAGAGCTCAGTTACAAAAAAAATAGAGCTCAGTTACCAATTGATGATTCAAACAGTTCGTAATAAAATCAGAGTCCCTTTTTTTTTGTGTTTATTTGGCGATTTTACAGATTTTTCACAACAGCCCAATATATCAGAGCTCAGCTAAAAAAAAAATAGAGCTCAATTACAAACTGATTATTCAAACAGTTTGTACTAAAATCTGAGTCCTTTTTTTTTGTGTGAGTTTATTTGGCTCATTGGGTTACACAGCATAGACTTTGATGAGTTGATTAAGATTTTTCTGAGTTGCAAGGGGGTGAGTTCCTTCTCCTGAGCCCCATTTTCAAACATTGGGTAAAGCAAAGTGATTCGGTCTTGTGAAATTTGTTAATAGATTGCATCTTACTCGAGTTAGGCATTTCGTGTTTTCCTTCTTGGCATATTTTGAGTTAATTTGCAGTATGTGTTTTAAAATTAAAGGTTCTTGACATGATTGCATCTTATTGGGTGATTAGAGGTTCTTGGTGTTCACTTTCGTCTTTTTTTTTTTTCTT